GGTAATGTTTAATTCCCCCCGTCGTGACAGCTGCGGATCCGCATGGCAAATTGGATTTTTTTTTTCGTTCTTTGTTAGGATTGTGCTGCTGCAGGTGAGGAGAGGGACAGTGAGCCGAGGTAACTCTGGTGTCACATGTTGTTCACAGGCCGCTCTGTCTCTCAGCGACCAATCGAATCAGAGCGGGTTGTTTCTGACGGGGGAACAGAGAGGAGCTGTCCAACCTGTCTCCTTTATAGTCAGCATGCAATCACAGCTCTGACCTGAACACACCGCTCTCCGTGCCCTCGATAGACAATAAAATAAAAGTCCAAATGCATGGATACACAAACACGCTGAGGACCAAACAGGGACATCGTTCGAGGTTCACCTTGTTTCACAATCGTGTTTTGTCCACAACTTAATAAGGACATGTTTCACTTTACATCTAATATATTGAGATATTGAAGTGACTGTTATTTTCTATGTATTGATTGTTGTGCTTTTACTCATGTCTTAATGTGTGCATATGTATAAATGTGTCTGTTGATTGTGTATATATAGGATATACATATTGTTATATTTTTGTATTCAGGATTGTGGGAAACGGTATTTCGATCTCTCTGTACACACAAACTGAAAGATTGACACTAAAGTTGACTGACTGTGATTTTGTTAAAGCTGCACTACACATCCGTTTATTCATGTTTACATCACAGTGTGTAATGTGAAAGCAAGAGTAACAACCTATGGGTCTCATAAATCAATTCAATTCAGAAGTGCCTCAAATTTGTACGTTTCCTAATTTCTATCAGGACTCCATTGGTTGCAAAAATCTGATTGTATATATGTCTATGAGAAAATGACGTTACATAAAAGAAACGTAAAAATGTCAGCAACCGGTTGTAATTATGCTCGCCCTTCTTGAGTTATATTTGGTTGCAAAAAAGAAAAAACACTAGTAGGAGACGGACAAAAACTAAGATTGCAAAGAACGAAAAAAACAATATGGAAAAGTGAAAAAGTCCAACTCAAGGTTACAAAACAGCAGTCCACAAAGCAAAGGGTGAAGTTAGCGTGACTAGATATCACCTAGAGACTCATCAACCTTGTTGCATCCAAAGCAGGCAGCCATTGGTGTAAAATCTGTGATAACCCATTGGATAAGAGCTGCTGAGTACTAACAGCAGAGAGCGACTAGCTGGTCAACATAATGCAGCATTAGCAGCTAAAGAGAAATACAAATATTGGTTTTGAAAAGTGTTGGTGAAGACTAAAACACACACAATCCCAAATGAATGCTAATGTTGCTCCGTGTCTGCAGAATGTGGAAAGAAGAAATCTTTCATCCAGCTGGTTTTGTCATTTTTCCTATTTCATCACCACATGTCGTTCAAAATGACAGAAAAGTAATAATATAGCACGTTGAAAAAAAGGACAAAAAAGGTCACGGTATAGCATGTCGAAGAAATGCAAAAAAATGCAGAAAAATATATGGTATTTTATGTCAAAATAAGGCGCAGTATGGTGTGTAGAAACCAGACGTAGTATCTCGCTCAAAATGACAGAAAAGTCATTATATAGCATGTTGAAAAAAAGAAAAAAAACAAACATGGTATTTTATGTTGAAATAAGGCACGGGCGTGACGTGTGTAGAAACCAGTATGAAAACCAGTATGTCGTTAAAAATGACAGAAAAGTCAGAGTATAGCATGTCGAAAAAAATGCTACAAAAAAACATGACTTCGAGGTAGGACACCTTGAAAGACGTGACCGGCGATGTTCCTGAGTTCCCGGGAACATGAAGTCTAGATGTAGTCCGCTCCACTCCCCTCCTGCCTCCCGGGGGTTTAATGCAGAGAGTGGACGGTGGGGTTAATGCCTAGCTGTAAGCACTGCTTAGCGCCAGAGATTGGGTTTGTGTTGCAGCAGGCCTTCCACCGTCTGCAGAAAAAAATAAAAAAAGATCCAGTAGGAAATGACTTCAACTGTCCAGCCCTGTGGGCCACCATCATTTCCCCAACTCCGTCCCCCTTTGTCGGGGCTCCCAGAGGTGAATGCGATGTGCAGCAATGATTAAAAGTGTTCTCCCTCAAGGTGACCTCAACAGAAGGAGGTGAAAGTCAAAGTGAGGGACATGGAGATGAGAGAGGGGCACGGAGGTGAAGGTCTGTGTTGGACATATTGTAAGAGCCCAGTCCTGAGTGTAGGAGGGAGATTGCCCCGTCTTCACTCTCCCATTGCTCCATTCCTGCCTCTTCCCCTTGTAGTTATCAGTGATTGTATGTGACGTGATGGGTATAAAGCAGTGTGCCACAGCAAGGAGGCATCGACAATCTAATCATTGTCACATCAGCGATTACCTCCGGGCCGTGATGTATTTGAACAGGCTTCTATCACATCTGCTATTACCTGCCTCTTCCTGCCTTATGTCCCTCGGTACACATCTTTTCTCTTAACTGTGTGTTCAATCACCTCCGCCAGCGACCCCTCGACAGTGACGTATGCCAGCGATTAGCCCGGATACAGTTCAATTATGATAAACAGCCAGCGCACCTCTTAGGCCGTGATTAAAGCCTCGGCCCGGCCTTGATAAAGAGATCCCATCTCAATGCCATCACAAGCACATTATAAGACACTCTGCCTCATGCTTTTCACATCAGTGTTGCAGAACGTACACTGGATGGAGCTGCTGGGGGGTCTTCATCATCCACACATGGCTGCTGATGCATCCCTGCCCACCTACTTTCAATTTAGACTAGTATTTATTAATAACCTCCACTTTCTTGAAGCCCATCCTACAGGATACCTGCCGTATGACTTGAAGACGGGTTGCCGTTATGAGAGACCGAGCGGTACAGGAAGCCCACGGTGTTGATAAATGGATGAGCAGTGATGAAAGGGGAGAAGAGAAGAGAGCATTAATCCAACAGTGGAGAGTGTGAATGAGAGACAGAGAGAAAGGGGGAGGAGGAAGCAAAAGAAAGATAGCCTTTCGCCTGTGTTCTGTCAAGGGAGAAATTACACATTTACGGAGGTTTTTTCAAGCAACGACGGGTTCCATAGATCAAACCACTGGATTTATGAGCCAATTTTCAACATGAAATATAGACACAGAGAATCCATTTTACCCATGTTTACTTGCCTCCTCTCACTCGTTCCCTCTCTGCTCGCTCTCAATCAAACGGCTCACAGTGTGCGGATGGCTTTACTCCTGCAACCTTAAAAAGAGCTTTTAGAGACGTTGAAGACCGTGTTTTGATTCTGGTGTTCAATAAAGAGTCTTTAAAAAAGGAAAGGCATCAAACGTTGGAAAGAATAAAATAAATACGTTAATAAAGGGGATGATTTATTACTTGCAACTGGACGTTTATAGTCTCGTTTCCAGCTAAATAATCGAGTGGTGTGAATCTGGCTGTTGAGCTACGGTCATGACGGAAAGATGTTTTGATTTTAGCGTTCAATAGAGTGCCACGGTGACGCGTCCTAAAACCCACGAAGTAAACTCCTTCCGGTTCCTTCGACAAAAAAGCAATGGGATTTCTCCATTGGATTTTGAAAATAGCTGGAAATGAGGTCTGTGGTTGAAACGCATTTAAGAGACGGATCACGTTTGTTCAGCCGGATAATCTCCACATGTCTACCCTACTTTTATAATGTTCGAATCATAAATCTATCGATTAGATTTACGATAGTGCTCCAACAGTCTATGACTCCAACACATTGTACGTGATGGACTAAGGAGCGGGACATCTCTAAGCGGTCCACCAATCTCAACAGAGACGGCCAGCTAACCAATCAGAGCAGACTGGGCTCTGGTTTCAGACAGAGGGTGAAAAGAGGTGCTGCAGCACAGGCAGTATGAGAACAATAAATAGCTTTTTGAACATTAAAGGGGACCTATCATGCAAAATGCACTTTTTGATGTATTTTTAGTATGTGTCCCCGGTGTGTCGGGGAACTCACGCAGCGTCAGAAAATAAAACCCTTTCTCTTTTCCTCCGTACCCAAATCTGTAAAAACAGGGGTTCAACGAGCGGATACAGATTTGCAGCCGATATTATGTAATATCCGATGGTGGACCCACAGAAAGTTGCTATCAGAAACAATGCCTGACGTGTTTTGGACGTAATCTCGTTTACATTAGCGAGCCTCGCTGTCACTCAGAGCTAGCCTGTACTGGAGAGCACGTGTGTTTTTAAAAAGCAGGAAATAAAAAAAAGGAACTCACCTTTCGATAAACCTGCAAGAGAAAAAGCATTTGAGCTCCATACTGTTTCAGAGATAATCCTTGATGTGGTTTAGAACAGGATGGCGTTTTATCACAGCAGAATTTAACTTTATCTCCGGTAGAATTCTGATCAGGCATTAGCTCCGCCTCCTCTTTTTTTTTTTTTTAAGCTAAGGACCCAAAATCCGCGTTTCTCTAACAGGGCTGCAAAAGAGGGGTATGAGCAGTATGAGGCATGGCTACAATGGGGGAACTGTTTGGTATTTTAAGCAAAAAACTTCACAGACATGTTTTGTATAGGTATGGCCAAACAATATATTTTTCCAATATAGCATAATAGGTCCACTTTAAAGCATGGAGACATGTCCCAGTAAAAGACACTTAATACATAAATGAACCTGATAATGAGCATGATAGGGCCCCTTTAATACACACACTATATGCCTAGACCACAGTCCCCTCTCTTCTGGGCAAACGTATTCTACATTTGCATAGAAATTAATGTCTAAGTAGGCTAAACGACATAATTGACATGCAATTAGCAATATTATGAGGAGGGAACCTAATGAAGTTTCAGAGGCTGTGCGGGCCTGAGAATGATCACTGCTTAATTATCATATTAATGAAGTCATTAGTTGTCACTTAACTTAGATGACAGGTAAGGTAAGAACGTCGTGATCTTACAATTTCCCCGGCAAATGTGTATTCAACACTAATTACCTCCGAGTTAGAATCTCTTCTGAGAGCGACGGACACTGTGAAGAGATCATAAACATGCATAACACGCAGGGAGGAAAAAAAACAATGAGGTTTATTGAATCATTGACTGAAGCATCTTCAAGGTCACCTGAGGACACTCGCTCCACGGGCTGCATATGGAGCCCTCCAGAGAGAGAGAGGTGCACTCTGGGAAGGTACTAAAGGCTAACACAAAAACACATTTCCAGTAAACACTACGACATGATTAGGCTCCAAAAAAAAACCTCAGATGGGTCCGATGCGGCTCGAGGTCCTCCCACTCCCAGAGTCTCTTCTTTCTTTCCAATTCATTTCAATTACCCCGTCATTCCCAGCTTCTTCCCCGCGTCCCGATTAGCTCGGCCTGGCAATTTACAGTTGATGTTGCCTCGTCTGAAGCGGAGCCGCGGTGGAGCCAGGGAGACGCGCAGTAATGGAATGAAATGTCACTCAGTTGTTGTCTTTGGCACAAAGACGCGGGGCAGACGGAGAGTATATCGCCGGTCGGTGAAAAGTCGTGTGTGTAGAGTCAGTGGTGCGAGCTCCCCCGTGTCCCTGATGTCCAACCTTTACACTTGTCACCACTGTGATCAGAGTAACTCACGTCCTGCACCCTGTCCCAGCTGCTGCTCATCAAGGCTTCTTCACCTTCTTCACTGAAGACGAGCTGGACGCCGACTCTCTCCGTTTGCGCTACAAGGTGACAGAGAGAACAATCACATCAGGGTCTGACGGGGGTCTCCTCCTAGTTCTGCTTCCTAACAGTTCAATATCAACGGCCATTAGTAGAAAAGTGTTTGCTAAACTGCCGGGCGAGCTGGGTATCAAACAATACATGTGGTTTAAAGAATTCTAAGTATCACCATTTTTAAAATAGCAAATTTCATGTTATTCCTGGTAAAAACTGTTGTAAGTCCAGATAATTAATCAAAAATAAGGTTAAAACTGTTTAAATGGTCTTTAAAAAACAGGAATCCCTTAGGCTTACATATAGATAAGAGAACAATGTTTCATATCATCACAGAAAGGACACGTTCTTTTTTGTGAAAAACCAAACCTCTTAAATACGGACATCAAAAATCATTAAATCCGTCTTTTCTTTTTTACACAACTGTGTGTTTTTAATAAGTATCACATTGTTTGTTTCTCTACTATGATAGCAAGCTGGTCCGCTTATTTAATTCACTAATTTGAGGATGTTCACACTTATGCTAATAATAAAAACTCACCAAAATCAACTTATTGTGAGTGTTTTTAAATCATAATTCAAAATGAAATAATCCTACACACTGTAAGATATGTAATGCACATTGCCTGAGCTGCGATACAATATTACGTTTTAGGACAGAATAGTTTTTGATGTCAACTAAACTACATTAACACTCCTTTAAGTTCAGTCCAACATGTATTACTTGTAACTGCACGCTTAAGACTTGACACCATACTGTGGCTTGGTCCAGATAAACACAAACAGCTCTTGTAAATCATAATTCACAATGAAAAACTGTCAACACACTGTAAGAAAAGTCACTTAAACATTAAAATATGAGTGGCCATTGCCTTAATGCATTACAATACCAGGAGAGAGTTCGTACAGAATGATTGTTGGCCAGCTATAACAACACAATAAGTTGAGTCAAGAATCTATTACTTGTAACTGGACGCTTAATACTTGACATTATATTGTGACTTGGTCCAGGTTAACACAAACATCTCTTGTAAACAGAAATCTTCAGCCTGTTTTGTTGCTGGTTCAGAGTGTTGCTGTGTGCAGTGCAGACTTACTGAGTTGGGGGTAAGCGGTGCTCCGACAACATCGATGATCTGCTCCTTGGCCTCCAGCTTGATGTCGTCGGTACAGGGCCAGGACGGAGCCTCGCCCCCCGGGGTGGATGCTGTGGTGCTGTTGGAGGCGCTGAGTTCTCCCCCTTGTGTTAGGGAGGCTGGTAGAGCTCCCAAAGACCCAAAAGACCCCAAAGATCCTAAAGACCCTCCAAAGCCTCCCCCTCCTCCTCCGCCGGCCTTCAGCAGCGCCTCGTAGCGGTGCCGCAGCATCTGCTGCTCGTACTCACAGTTGCTGTGAGCCTGCTTCAGCTCGTACAGCAGAACCAGGTCGCTGCGCAGCTCGTTGAACATCTGGACCATCTCCTCCGTGGGCATGGGGTTCAGATCTGATGCACAGACAGAGCAAGGAGGAATG